TGATAGTTTAGTTGCATAGGTGCGAGAAAAAGTTATCAATCTTTTAGGCACTTTGCGTAATCGTTTAAGTTGCTTAGTCGTTTTGCAGCGTGGGACTAGCTCGTTCCAATAGATGTCTTGAATCGGAGGCTGCTCGTGACGAATTTCGGCTTCTTCGTTCGTCTCGGCGTCATTTCTCGACGCGCAAAGCTCGGACAGGCACAGCGCCGCGTAGTAAACGATCTCAACGCAGCTGATTAAACTGCAGCCGAGAAAGAATTCGCATATCCCACCAAAGTCACCTTAAAAAAAAAAGAAAAACCATTATTCCCGACCGAGTATTGTCGCGCAGTAATTTGTACAGTATCGGCATGGAATAATTTATTTGGAGCGACACAGAAATTGAAGTGTACTAACTCAAATACTGATACCACTTGTAGGTGACGTCCAGCTTCAGATATGGAGTGCCGCCGTGGATGAAAAAGATATGCAAGATGCTGTGATTCACGTCTGCCCTAAGAATTGTAGAAACATATCGTATGAAATACGAATTTGTCGGTATTGTATTTTTCAATTTATTTACTAAATCTGCTTACTCCGAGTCGGTCTCGAATTGCTCGGGATTCGCAGGGTACACGTCGTTTCTGACATTGTAAGTTAGGTCGTTGCACGGGGGATAACACACTTCGCAATAGAGCGTTGTATTTTCTTTTATTAAATGTTTCAGCGACTTCTTCGGGTAAGGCACGACAACGCGTCTGTTCTCTGCGGTACATCGAAAGATTTAATGGAATATTTAAACGTCGAAGCATCGCACAGACTACTCTTGAATTTTTAACATTAAAAATTCAAGATTATATTGAACTGTTAGAATCGATGCTTTCAATTCGAATTACAATCATTTTACCTTTGTATTTTCCGATGCACGGCACGTCTTCCAAAGTGCAAGTCCTGTTGTATCCTACAGAATCATGCGAAAAGATGGCAGAAATTCATTTCGAGACAACAGTAAAAGTAATATCGAATATACGTACACGTAACAACCCTATACAGTAAATTCTCCCCTAATCGACCCTCAGCTTGGAAACAAAAATGGACAATTTGGGAAGAGGGGGTACAATTAAATTAACCTTGCGGCTCGTTTTTATAGTTGTTGACAATCGGTAACTATAAAAACAAACCGCAAAGCTCGAATAATCGTATTATTGAAATGTCTACATAAAGTTTTAATATTTGTTAAATGCATGCTTCGATCTTAGTTTTATAATATCTTGCGGTATGACCCTCGGAGGGTCGTACACTTATAGGTCGGCTCACCGATGCGACGTTCGAGCCGGAGACGACGCTGCCATAATAAATGCACAAGGTAAGGATAGTCACTTGCATGTGTTTGTCCCGTGTCCCTGGCAACTTTAGAAAGAAAAACTACGCTGCCTAAGTCAGTCGAACGACAGCATTCGCAAGAGTAATTGCATTTACTCGGTTGTCTCCTTATCCTATTCTTTCACATCTTCTACTCACCTTGTTTCTGTTAACTAAATAAAATATTATTTTGCTCTAAAATAACAGTTCGAGTTCCTTGCTTATGCATAAGCACCGATACCCAACACGTATATCCTCTTCCAAAATTCATTACATTTTTGTTTCCAAGTTGAGCGTCGATTAGGGAGAATTTACTCTATTTGCTAAATAAACCATTTACTTCGAAGCATTGATAAATAAATAAATAAATAAAACTGCAAGCTACGAGTCTGCTGCGTAGATTCGCAAATTTGCGAAGCCAGAAAATTGATAAGTGCGATAATATCTCGACTCACGTTTCTCGAGGCCTAAGTCGGGATAGAAGAACGGCTTGCAGTTGCAAAACTTCCATATGTCCTCCATCCTGCACGCGACAATGCAGTCGCTGGACGAGTAAAATTTATATACCGTTGGATTCTCGTCCCCGAAGATGCAATTGCGCGTCCCCACTGGGTACGATCGGATCGAATCGCTGCCGGACAGGCCGAGCGCTGTCAATATCAGGTATCCTTTTGTCAGCGGGGCAAGCAACAGCTCTGTCACACCGCCGCTATTCGCGTCCGGGTAATGACGAGGACCAAACACCATCACCTGACGAATATATCGAGACGACATCATTGGTCGCCGGATCTTGAATGACAAGGTCATCGTTCATTTTCATGCGCCACTGTAAACTTTGTTGACGAGTCTGACTCGTCGAGAGCTGTTTTCGGCGGACACCGTGCAGTAAATTATTGGAATTATTCAGTTGCGTCACTCGTGCGTCGATAGTGGTTTATTTACAATGTTCGAGATGCCCCATCCTTCCACATTCTCGGCAGTACCGATGACAAGCAGTATATGAGCAGTATTCGGTATAGCAGTGATCTCGCACGGCTTGCACATAACTGTTCAGTTGAGCCACGTTAAATAGTATTTTTCGGACGCATCGAATTCCGTTTTGTTTGTATGTCAAGGGGGTTATAGTGCACGATTATACGCATATTTCAAACTATCTTTATTTAATGTTCTTTCAATGCTGTCGTACTACGTTCGATTTTGTTTTTTAATCGTAAAGTGATAACTATACTGTGGATTTTAAGCTTTTATGATAAAAATGAGTAACTTAAGCGTGCAAATAAGTATTAGGTCTACCGGAAAGTTCTGTCCGATAGTGTCACTTCAAGTTTCAATCCATATGCACATGTTGATTTGAGACATATACGACTATCTCTCTTTATCGTTGCATTTACACGCATGTACTCTCCTAAATAAACTGAATCAAAGATGTCTCATGTCATTATTAAGCGAGACGCGATCATGAAAACATGGCTACCGATGATAATGCCAGACCACATGCTGCTTTGGCGACTCGTCAGAAAATCGCAGAGCTAGGCTGGGAAATTCTGTCGCATCCACCATACTCCCCAGACCTAGCACCCTCCGATTATCACTTGTTTCTCTCTTTGCAAAACTTTTTACAGGCAAAAAATTTCAAAACCGAAGCTGATGTCAACCAAGCACTGGTTGAGTTCTTCGCCTCTAAAAATAAATCATTTTTTAAAAATGGCATTTACAAGTTGTCATCACGCTGGCAAGAAGTCATAAGTAACGATGGAAAGTATATTCTACAATAAATATTATTAAATGTATGAAAATTGTGTGTTATATTTCAATTTGAAAACGGACAGAACTTTCCGGTAGACCTAATATAATTTAAAACAGTGGACAGCTAAAAAAAACCATGAAAGTTGTGATCAAAGAAAGAAAAAAACTCGTGTTTATCTTCTTTATTCTACAATTGATGCAGGCAATATTTCTTTTGCGCAAAGACTACGGATGTTCATGTAATATAAAAATTGTCTTCGTTAATAGCAACAAACACGAGTCGAATAGGAACTTCTTTCTTCCTTTAATAATTTCAAAATAATACGTACGTGCACCTAAAGTTTTTAAACAGTCTCGTTTCCTTCAATTTGATCTATCAGTTTTTACAAATTTTTATAAATTCATAAAATCCGCAGAATGCATAACAGTCCCCGATATTCGAACTAATTGTAAGTTTAATTTTGTAACATCGTGGGCACCGTGATCTCCTGAGGGAGGAAATCCTCCGCACCCTTTACAGTCAATATAATTGTCAGAATTATTAGAATCGTGAACTTTTGCAGCAACAACGTTAATATTTTCCGTGATTCTCAAGGCATTGTTCCGGTGCAATTTACACCGTGTACTCTCTAACTAAATAATAATAGTTCGTATCATATTCTGAAATCTAAAAGGAAATTTAGCACGTTCAATAAATAAATAATAATAATTATTATTATAACAAAATCTACAGTCTATTATCAGGAAGCCAGCGGTATGCGATAACTCCGTCTTAATTCTTCGCGAAACATAGCAAAATTGAACGAGCTCGCGGAAATAAATAGAAAGCCACGCGCAGAACCACTAAGCGACGGTGAATTAAAGCGTGCGCGATTACAGCTAAATCGATCGGTACGTTTCTGCCGAAGAAAATAGCCCGTGTTTCAACGAGTCGCGTCAAGAAGTGCCGAGAAATGTTTCGGAATTCGCTGAAATGCATCGTCTGGAGGCGGAACCGGCGAAAATCTTTGACGAAAAACCCGATTACGGTTTATTTTTCCAAATTGCGCCGCCGCTGAATAAAACGCGACCTATAAAAGAATTTATTCCTCCCCCGTCCCGCGCGCGCGCGCGTTTCCCCGTCACCGTTCATTTTCTTCGTCCGTTTCGCTTCGAGCGAGCTCGAGGCTCGATTCCGGAGTCGAGCACCGGTGGAAAACACGCGGCAACGAAATAATTGAGCGATAAACTTTTTTTTCTGTTCGCGAAATGACGGTTTTACGGCGAGGCTGCTTAGAATTGTTAAATCACACGAACCGCGGGACGATGTAACGGGCCGCTGGTCCCGCTGCAACTGCTGCTTTTTTACAATGTAAAACGGAACACTGTACGCCGGCCGCTAATGACTTTTACCGTCTTTTTTGCCGGCGGACGCGCGCACTACAAAACGCAATAATCGTTGATGACCGGTCTCGAAAAAGGATAGTGATTAAGGGCAGCGCGATCGCGCGTGATCGTCGTTATCGCCACGAGAGTAGATCGCGGATCTACGCGTTCGCGTCACTTGCATAGTTTCGCGCGGCGTNTGTCATCACGCTGGCAAGAAGTCATAAGTAACGATGGAAAGTATATTCTACAATAAATATTATTAAATGTATGAAAATTGTGTGTTATATTTCAATTTGAAAACGGACAGAACTTTCCGGTAGACCTAATATAATTTAAAACAGTGGACAGCTAAAAAAAACCATGAAAGTTGTGATCAAAGAAAGAAAAAAACTCGTGTTTATCTTCTTTATTCTACAATTGATGCAGGCAATATTTCTTTTGCGCAAAGACTACGGATGTTCATGTAATATAAAAATTGTCTTCGTTAATAGCAACAAACACGAGTCGAATAGGAACTTCTTTCTTCCTTTAATAATTTCAAAATAATACGTACGTGCACCTAAAGTTTTTAAACAGTCTCGTTTCCTTCAATTTGATCTATCAGTTTTTACAAATTTTTATAAATTCATAAAATCCGCAGAATGCATAACAGTCCCCGATATTCGAACTAATTGTAAGTTTAATTTTGTAACATCGTGGGCACCGTGATCTCCTGAGGGAGGAAATCCTCCGCACCCTTTACAGTCAATATAATTGTCAGAATTATTAGAATCGTGAACTTTTGCAGCAACAACGTTAATATTTTCCGTGATTCTCAAGGCATTGTTCCGGTGCAATTTACACCGTGTACTCTCTAACTAAATAATAATAGTTCGTATCATATTCTGAAATCTAAAAGGAAATTTAGCACGTTCAATAAATAAATAATAATAATTATTATTATAACAAAATCTACAGTCTATTATCAGGAAGCCAGCGGTATGCGATAACTCCGTCTTAATTCTTCGCGAAACATAGCAAAATTGAACGAGCTCGCGGAAATAAATAGAAAGCCACGCGCAGAACCACTAAGCGACGGTGAATTAAAGCGTGCGCGATTACAGCTAAATCGATCGGTACGTTTCTGCCGAAGAAAATAGCCCGTGTTTCAACGAGTCGCGTCAAGAAGTGCCGAGAAATGTTTCGGAATTCGCTGAAATGCATCGTCTGGAGGCGGAACCGGCGAAAATCTTTGACGAAAAACCCGATTACGGTTTATTTTTCCAAATTGCGCCGCCGCTGAATAAAACGCGACCTATAAAAGAATTTATTCCTCCCCCGTCCCGCGCGCGCGCGCGTTTCCCCGTCACCGTTCATTTTCTTCGTCCGTTTCGCTTCGAGCGAGCTCGAGGCTCGATTCCGGAGTCGAGCACCGGTGGAAAACACGCGGCAACGAAATAATTGAGCGATAAACTTTTTTTTCTGTTCGCGAAATGACGGTTTTACGGCGAGGCTGCTTAGAATTGTTAAATCACACGAACCGCGGGACGATGTAACGGGCCGCTGGTCCCGCTGCAACTGCTGCTTTTTTACAATGTAAAACGGAACACTGTACGCCGGCCGCTAATGACTTTTACCGTCTTTTTTGCCGGCGGACGCGCGCACTACAAAACGCAATAATCGTTGATGACCGGTCTCGAAAAAGGATAGTGATTAAGGGCAGCGCGATCGCGCGTGATCGTCGTTATCGCCACGAGAGTAGATCGCGGATCTACGCGTTCGCGTCACTTGCATAGTTTCGCGCGGCGTCGAGCATTTTTATTTCGGAACGCAAGAATATGTTCTTATTGGTGCGTGGTAACGAAGTTCTTCGCTTACCTTCATGCGAAGCGATGATTTTATCGCTTCGGTACAATGTTTCCCAACCTTTTTGTGCTCGCGATATCGCTTGCGAAATATTGGGTTGGCAACTAAGTAATTGCTGATTTCAGTTATAGATGTCTCTCACTCCCATTTTTATGATATCCGTAAATGTTATATTATAAAATTATTATTATTATTATGTTATTTTTGATTATCCGTGAATGTTAGCAACTGGACAAATTGAATGCAGCGGTCAAGGAAAAGCGAGCAGAATTGGTCAATCGTAAAGGTGTCATTTTCCACCAGGACAATGCTAGACCGCACACGTCTTTGTCCACTCGGCAAAAATTGATGGATATTGGTTGGGAATCGATGTTACACCCACCATATAGTCCTGATCTCGCGCCATCGGATCACCATTTATTTCGATCCCTGGACAACTCCCTTCGTGGTAAAACTTTTAATGACGATGACGCTGTAAAGTCTCACTTAACTCAGTTTTTGGCCGAAAAGGATCAGACTTTCTACGAGCGTGGAATTTTCAAGTTGTCGGAGAGATGGCAAAAGGTCATCGAACAAAATGGAAAATACATTAAAGATTAAACTTCGTTCCAAGTAAAAAAAAAATTTTATTTCGTTGAACAAATCGGCAATTACTTAGTTGCCAA